TGTTTGTCAGCAAGAGTCAGACAGAGAAAAAGAACAGAGGACAGAGACCAGATCTATGGATGTATTTCACATTGAGAGAGCGAATAAAGTCCATAAAGTCACTTTTAAAAGCACGCAAACATAATATATGACACCTTGAGATTTCTTGTTGCAACATTTTATGCCGAGTTCACACTGAACGATTTTAGCCCCGATTTTCACTCGCAAACAGGTTTTGCGAAATCGAAAATAGGTGCTTGTTCAGCATTAAATTTCGGCATCTGTAATATTCATCTCATGCTAGTCCACCTTACACAACATACAAACAGCTCAAATCGAAATCAATTGTCAATGCAAATTCACGTGAACAATTTCAAACCAATGCAAAATCTGCATGGGGAAGCCTTTCGTCCTCAAGCGAAATTCCCGACTGCGCACATTCCTATTGAAATGACTCGATTTAGACCATGAAAATTCGCTGAACACCGGTAAATGTGAGCGTAAGTTTAGTCTTATTTGGCTAACTGTATGTTTGCTGAGCTTTTGTCTCAATGGGCTTTATATGAAAGTACAGTCCACTTTGCATTAATTGAAAAGTCAACATTATAAATGATGGAAGTCAGTTTCCGCAACAGAATTAAAAATAAAAAAGATAATTGCGACTTATAATCTTAGAATTCAGAATTTTTCCGAGTTCAAATCTCACAATTCCAAGTTTACATCTCACAATTTTGACTTGCAATTGCAAATTTATCTCTCGCAATTCTGACTTCTTGCAATATGCTTTATAAACTCGCAATTGCAAATTAGCATCTCAAGCTCATATTTTGTAATTATGAGTTTATATCTTGCAGTTTTCCATCAGAATTGCAAGAAAAAAAATTCATAAAAAGTTGTACTTTTTTTTTTTTTTTTCTTCTATGGAGGAAACGGGCTTCTATAGAAAATATATTTTTCTCCTAATTTTAAGTGGACATAGAAACTATGGTTTCTCAAAGTTAGACATGGTCTTGGACAGTCTGAGATCTTAATCGGACTGCATTTCTGTCTCTCACAGCCTCATTTTCACATCAAATTGAAGGTAAAGTGTGTAGTTTCTACACCACTAGTGACATCTAATAATACTGCAAAAATTAAAGGGTTAGTTCACCCAAAAATGAAAATTCTGTTATTAATTACTCACCCTCATGTCGTTCCACACCCCTAAGACCTCCGTTCATCTTCAGAACACAAATTAAGATATTTTTGATCAAATCCGATGGCTTAGAGAGGCCTCCATTGACAACAACGCCACCCAAACTCTCAAGATCCATAAAGGTACTAAAGACGTCGTTAAAACAGTCGACGTGACTACGGTGGTTCTACAATAATTTTATGAAGCGACGAGAATACTTTTTGTACGCAAAAACAAAACAAAAATAACGACTTTATTCAACAACCCCTTCTCTTTTGTGTCATTATCCTTACGCGGTTAACGCAGTAAGCACAGTGAAGGCTTCCGTGTTCTACGTCCGAACGCCGGCTCATTATTGGCCAAAGCTGCACATGTGAGCAGCGCGACGCATGCGTGTGATGCTGATGCAGGAGCCAACCAATAATGAGCCAGCGTTCTGACGTAGAACCTGGAAGCGCTGGACGTAAACAACGTATGATAATGACACAAAAGAGAAGGGGTTGTTGAATAAAGTCGTTATTTTGGTTTTGTTTTTGCGTACAAAAAGTATTCTCGTCGCTTCATAAAATTATTGTAGAACCACCGTAGTCACGTCGACTGTTTTACCGACGTCTTTAGTACCTTTATGGATCTTGAGAGTTTGGGTGGCGTTGCTGTCAATGGAGGCCTCTCTGAGCCATCGGATTTGATCAAAAATATCTTAATTTGTGTCCTGAAGATGAACGGAGGTCTTAGGGGTGTGGAACGACATGAGGGTGAGTAATTAATAACAGAATTTTCATTTTTGGGTGAACTAACCCTTTAAATCTAATACGACTTAATCAACTGTAAAAATCCATCTACAATTTGGCTAGCTAACACCAAAGGAACAAGACAAATCTTTTAAAATATCTAAATATTTTTTCTTAAATAGTGTATTCTTGATTATTCAGACTCATTTAATGGTGTCACAAAACTTTGCTTTTGTTTCTTTTCATAAGGCTAAAAATGTCAGTGATGGAGGATGTGGGGTAAATGCAAAAGAATACAATATCTATCTTCATACAACAGGAAGACACTATTAATATATCATTATGAATAATAGGTCTGTGTGCATAGAATAATAATACAAAATAAAGATAAAAAAGTTACAATAAAAAGTTAAAATGCTATGTTGCTAACATAAAATAAAATGTTATGTTTTGATTGTCTCTTGATATGGCCACAGTAAATCTAAACACTTTTAATATTTTTTATGTTCTCCTTAAATCCTATTGTGGAAAGTGACAGGTTGCAGTACATTTTTTGCATTATTATAAACAGTCTGTGCTGAGTCTATGCATTACAGTCTTCTATATGACAAGCGGCCCTGCCTCATTCCTTTAAAACTTATTTTCCATCTCCTCAGGGCATTTTAACATGTTTGTTTTTAGTGTTTCTCAACCCCAAAACCATCCTGAAAAGTGATATCTGTGATGGTTGACCAACCATCAATTATCTCTGGTCATAGCAATAATATTGTGTTTTGAAATGGTTCAACACGAAGAGCATCATTCCGCACATCCCCATTATAATGCACTCAATGAAAAGCGGTTGACTGTTTTTGCGTCAATGTTTACGTCTGGTTGCTGTGTAGCATGCAGCACCTTGGCTGGGCACTGAGAGGGTTTTACAGCTGGCACTCTGGCCGTCTGACGATGATGGCACTGAGACCTTATATCTTTGTGCGGTGGGGGAATGCCTAGAGTCAACTTCCCACTCCTGTCTCATAAAAAATACAAGCCACAGACACGCCACACTAGTTTAAGTATGTTTGCTCAGTTTTTGTGTCCATTTTTTTTTTTAAAGGGGTCATTTGATGCGATTTCAATTTTTCCTTTCTCTTTGAAGTGTTACAAGCTCTTGGTGCATAAAGAAGATCTGT